TGTGAGTATGGGCAGTCTTGCGTATATTCCGGTTGGTGAGAGGCCATTAGCTGCAAATGTTCAGACTTTGGCTAATCAGTTCGTGAGGTTAGATATTTCAGAACCCAGTCGGGTTCTAGCTTGCACAGTCGCTCGGTCTTCTTTATATGAGCGCATCAGAGAGAGGCATTATGATGATCCTCATTTACTTGTCCTTAAGGACACGGTGCAGCACGATGATGCCAAACAGGTTGTTGTGGGGGAAGATGGGGTTCTACGAATGCAGGGTCGTATTTGTGTCCCTAATGTGGATGGGCTTCGTGAATTAATTCTTGAAGAATCACACAGTTTCAGGTATTCTATTCATCCAGGTACCGCCAAAATATATCAAGATTTGCGGCAACATTATTGGTGGAGGAAAATAAAAAAGGAAATAGTTGCATATGTAGCTTGGTGTCTAAATTGTTAGCAAGTTAAGTACGAGCATCAAAGACCTGGTGGTTTACTTCAGAAGTTAGAAATTCCTGAGTGGAAGTGGGAGCGTATCACTATGGATTTTGTTGTTGGGCTCCCACGGACTCAGAGAAAATTTGACGCAGCTTGGGTCATTGTGGACAGGTTGACCAAGTCAGCACATTTCATTCCAGTGGCAATTACCTATTCTTCAGAGAGGTTAGCTGAAATTTAAATTCGTGAGATTGTCCGCTTTCACGGTGTGCCCGTGTCTATTATTTCGGATCGAGGTACGTAGTTTACCTCACATTTCTGGAGGGCTGTACAGCGTGAGTTAGGCGCGCGGGTGGAGTTGAGTACAATATTTCATCCACAGACAGATGGACAGTCAGCGCACTATTCAGATATTGGAAGATATGCTCCGCGCTTATGTTATAGACTTTGGAGGTTCTTGGAATCATTTCTTGCCACTTGCGGAGTTTGTTTATAATAATAGCTACCAGTCGAGCATTCAGATGGCTCCATATGAGGCATTATACGGAAGGCTATGCCGATCGCCAATTGGTTGGTTTGAACCGAGAGAGGCTCGGTTGTTGGGTACCGATTTGGTACAGGATGCCTTAGATAAGGTCAAGATTATTCAGGATCGACTTCGCACAGCTCAGTCTAGGCAAAAGAGTTATGCCAACCGTAAAGTTCGTGATATTGCATTCGTGGTTGGAGAAAGAATATTGCTCCGGGTTTCACCTATGAAAGGTGTAATGAGGTTCAGAAAGAAGGGCACGTTGAGCTCTAGTTATATCAGATCCTTCGAAATTCTTGAAAGGGTGGGTGAAGTAGCCTACAGACTTGCATTACCACCTAGTTTATCAGCGGTTCATCCGGTGTTCCATGTGTCTATGCTCCGAAAATATTATGGTGATCCGTCCCATGTGTTAGATTTCAGCTCAGTCCAATTGGACAAAGATTTGACTTACGAGGAGGAGCCGGTGGCTATTCTAGCCCGGCAGGTCCGAAAATTGAGGTCTAAGAGTTATCCTTCAATTCGGGTGCAATGGAGAGGTCAGCCGGTAGAGGCATCTACCTGGGAGTCCGAGTCGGACATACGGAGTAAATATCCACACCTTTTCTCCAGCTCATGTACTTTTTCTAATTCTGTTCGAGGACGGACGTTTGTGTTAGAGGTGGAGAATGTGATGACCCAAAATGATATATTTAAATTATTAAGTAATTATGTGTTCTAAGACCTCGAAAAGCACCATGTATCATTCCTCGACTTGCGTGCGTAGTCCGTACAATTTTTCGGAAAGTTTTTATGTAAAAAATAGATTAAAATGTGAAATAGAGCTTTAAAACTCATCTGAGTTGACTTTGGTCAATATTTTGAACAAATAGACCCGGATCAGTATTTTGACAATTCCGGTAGGTCAGTATCGTAATTTGAGACTTGGGCGTATGCCCGGAACCGAATTTCGAGGTCTCTAGCCCGAGATATGGAATTTTGATGAAAATTTAAAAGCTTGAAAGTTTAATGATTTCTAAGAAATTACTAATGTTAGATTTATTGACCTCGAGACCGTATTTTGGTTCCAGAGCCCGGTATAGGTCCACTATAATATTTATGGCCTGTCTGCCAAATTTGGTGAGAATCGGAGTTGATTTGACGTGATTCAGACGTCTGGTTGTAAAACTGTAAGTTTTAAAGTTTTCTTGAAAATTTCCTTTGATTTGGTGTCCGATTCGCAGTTCTAGGTGTTATTTTTGCGATTTGTTCGCACGAGCAAGTTCTTATGATGTTTTAGGACTTGTGTGCATGTTTGGTTTGGATCCCCGAGGGCTCGGGTGAGTTTTGGATAGGCTACAGGATGATTTTGAACTTAGAAAATCTGTTTTTAGCTTCTGCTGTCATCTGGTGCATCGTGCTTCGCGATCGCGAAGAGGAAATTGTAAGTAGTGAGTTTTACCCTTCGCGTTCACGAAGATAGGCACGCGATCACGAAAGGTAAACTCCCAGGGCACTGCGAATGCAAGGGACCAGCTGCGATCGCGTAGAAGGAAGGAAGGCAGAAGCTAGGCACGTCAATTATGCTACGCGATCGCACAAGTAAGTACGCGATCGCGTAAGGCTGAAAAAATGTACTCCGCGATCGCACGAGCATTTACGCGATCGCGTAGAGTTAAAAGTCTGGGTAGCCAAAATGTGCTTCGCGATCGCGAAGCCATTCCCGCGATCGCGAAGAGTAAAATGAACCTGGGCAAAAGTTGTTCTACGCGATCGCGATGAGTAAAAATCCCAGAAACAGAACTTAAGTTCTGGAAATGGGGTTTCGACCCATTTTCAACTCTTTTCTATTTTCGAGCTCGGGTAAGGCGATTTTTGGGCGATTTTCACGGGAAAATATTGGGGTAAGTGTTCCTTATCCTATATTGATTATATTTTATGATTTCATACTCATTTATATCATGAATCCGTGAATTTATGGAAGAAAAATCAGATTTTTATAAATTCTTCCAAAAATGAAATTTAAGATTTGAAGGTCCATTTGATATCGGAATTGGATAATTTTTGTATGGTTGAACTCGTAGCGGAACGGGTGTTCAGATTTCGTGAGTTTTTTCAGAATTTGAGATGTGGGTCCCACTGTCGAATATTTTAATGAATTTTGAATTTTTATCCGGAAAATTTATAAATTCATATGGAATTAATTCCTATGATTCGTATTGAGTATATTGAATTGTTTATGAATAGATTTGAAGCTTTTGGAGACAAATTTAAAAGAAAAAGCTGTGGTCGAGTAACTGATTGGAATTTGCAAAGCGAGGTAAGTGTCGTGGTTAACCTTGACTTGAGGGAATAGAACCCTTAAATTAATTGTTATGTGAATTGCATGTGAATGACGTATAGGCGAGGTGACGAGTGTCTATACGTCGTCAAATTAATTGTTTGCCTGCTTACTTGAAAAATCATAAATTGTTTTAAATCATGAATTAATTATTATTATTATAATTATTTCTCTCATATTCTTTGACAAATATTAATTCTTGAATTCCTGCATTAATTGTTATATGCTATTTAAATTATGTGCCTTAATTGTTATTTGACATTTAGCATATTAAATATTAAACTGCATATTTTCTCTCTGATTTTCATAATAATTTGCTATTTGCCTTGTTTGTTTCATAATTAAATCATAATTATTGTATGCTTGTTATCTTATAATTTCAATTAATTGTTGTATTTATTGGGGAAATTTCTTCTATAAGAATTGGTAAATGAATATGTTGGGGGATCGGGTTGCACGCCGCAACAGAATTGATTATAATGAATATATTGGAGGATCAGGTTTCACGCCTCAACAAATTAATTATAATGAATATATTGGATGATCGGGTTGCACGCCGCAACAGACTTATTAAAAAGTCTATATTGGAGGATCGGGTTGCACGCCGCAACAGACTTATTAAAAGTCCATATTGGAGGATCGGGTTGCACGCCGCAACAGACTTATTTAAAAGACGACATACATATATATATATATTGGGGGATCGGGTTGCACGCCGCAACAGACTTGATAAAAATGAATATATTGGAGGAGCGGGTTGCACGCCGCAACAGAACTGAATGTGAATATATTGTGAGAGCGGGTTGCACGCTGCAACAGAATTGAATGTGAATATATTGTGAGAGCGGGTTGCACGCTGTAACAGAATTGATGGAAATAATAATTGGTTATGACTGCTGAGTTGGCTTCAATTATTATAAATGAGTTACCTGATTTATTTATTTTATTATTGTTGTTGTTACTAATATTGTGTACAAGTAATGTAAGTGACCCGCCTTAACCTCATCACTACTTCGTCGAGGTTAGGCTCAGCACTTACCAGTACATGGGGCCGGTTATACTGATACTACACTCTGCACTTTTTGTGCAGATTTCGGAGTTGGTCCCAACGGCGTGCCATAGACTTGCTCGGATTTCTCACGACTAGTTGGATTTCAGGTCGTGACACTTTTGCTTAGACTATGTACTTGTATTAAGAAATTTATTAGACATATATAAATATTTAACTACAAATAACTAAAACGAATTATAATTTGGATACTAGTTCAGAGTTCATAAACTTCAAATAATTTTAAATGTGCAACTTATGTTAAACAGAAGAACAAGCTAATTCTTTTTTGTAAAATTAAATTAGAATAGGATGTAGAAACGAGACATGCAGTTCACATTGAATATAATTATCCCAACTTCTCTGTTAACAATTGAATATATTCTTAATAATGTTTCAAAGGAATCTATATCTCATTCCCATGCAGAAAAGAATACGTAGTCAAAAGTTCACCAAAAGAAAGGCATGGAATTATGTTTAAGGAATATTTAATTCGAAAGTAAACACAGAAAGCATCTCAAGAAAATACTTTGTGAGGATTTTTTTGTATGTGTATATATATATATATATATATATAAAATCAACAAACTTCCATCCTCTCTATATCTCAACAAGAAGAAAAGCCTTAAAAGGAAATATTACAAAAATCTGCAAAGGAAAGAAAAGAAACATAGAAAATGGATATAAAGAGAGTTGCAGCTGCTCAAGAATATGAAGATTTTGTGCCAACATCAATTATGGTTCGTGAAAAAGACTATGACACTCTTCTCTTTAATCTTTCGGGCGAGTTCTTCTCATTCTTTTTGTCCGGTAGCGGTAACGCCTTAAACCAATTGGTGTCATCTGACTCTGCTTTGTCGAAAATATTTTTTATTTTATATATATATAAAATATATATTTTTCTAAAAACAATATATATATATATATATATATATATATATATATATATATATATATATTAATTATAGGACGACAACATGAAAAAACTTAATGCATATTTTATTTTATGAACAAGAAATAAAATCTTAGAACTCTAGACACTAACATGCCTACAAGTTGAATTGTAACAAAAGGCCGACACCAATTACGCAAAATTCCGGTTGCTACACCGTTTTTGGGTGCGGTCATTACTCGAACCCTGCGTGAACACAAGATGCCTTGTGCACCAAACTATCCTGATTGTCAATGTTCCCCCAAAGAAAAAAAGGAAAACAAATAATAAGAACAAATGGAGTGTAAAATATTACTTGGCAATTCCTGAATGGGAGAGTGATATTAACTATTCTTGATAAATTATAGTTGACTCAAAAGAGAAAATTTTACTATATTGTCTATGTGAGATATTTTCATATATGAAGGCAAATTCCAAATTCAAAGTTTATTATTCTCACCATAAAATTCTCAAAAAATCAATGAAATCAGATCAAATATTGAGAAGTCATGTATGCTTAATTTCATTATCTACGCTTACACAAATGTAATACAATATTTACTGGGTGTGGTAATTTAACTTTGTATAAGCTACCCGCGTCTTCTAATAATTCCCTAAAGATTCCAGCTAAGACTTTTCCCCTAAATCCTTTCCCCCCCTAAATCTTTTCTCCCCCCAAAAAATAATTATGCCCAAAACTATCCCACTAAGTTAACTTTTACCCAAATTATATGAAAACTTCCGTATTTCTTCTTCCCTAAAACAGGCTCTACTCATCTAGTTAAGAAGATTAGGGTAGATTTTGTGAAAATTGCCGATGGAGATGCTTAATTTCTTCTAATTGGTCTTCTCAAAAGTCAAAAACCTCTTTATTTGGGTCTGGTGCACATCAGTTTCAACTGGGAAGTTCCTCTTCTTAGGGTTATAATTGCTAAAAACTTGTAAGTTTTCTATGAGTTTTTTGCTTTCCGTTTAATAACTTTTCAATCTTTGCTATCCGTTTAATAACTAGCAACAAACTAGATAATAGTCAGAATTGTTAAGGAAGGGCGCTCCTATATCTGATCTAAAGTAGTAAATATACAGTGGAATTAGGAAGAATGTGATGCTAGTTAGAATATCCAAAAGAACAACGAAAAGCGTAAATTTGAAAATAAATGAAAACTTACAAAGTTCATGCAAACATCAAGGAGATAATGTTTTCATCCGAAGAATATGTGAAAATTCGTGAGCACATAAAAATTAAATTTTGAGTGGTTTTCATGTATAGTTGCCTCAGTGTTATTAAAGGCTTGGTTAAAGTGCGTAAACCCTGAAACTCGGTAAAGCCCAAGTTATGCGCTCTGCCTCACTTAACTGGCGCTTTACTGTAGGCGTGCTAATATATAAGGCATGTGCACCTTCACCAATAGTCTGTCTTTAAGAGCACAACAACATATAAAAAAAATAACTTAATTATAATTTTCCCATTCTTTTCCCCAATTACTTATTGTTTGTGTTTATAGTTAAATTTTCTTGTATTAGATTTCTACCTCTTTATTTTTCTTCATTGGCGCCTTTGCGCTTAATAAAGCTCACCAATGCTCTCTAGTTTTGCGCTTTTAACTTTTGACTATATACTCTGAAATATCCTAATGAAATTGGAATTCTGCAGGTTTCAAGAAAGAACAAGTCAAGGTTCAATTGTGCAAATTAGGAATTCTGAAGATTAGCGGACAAAGGCCAGTTTATAAATGGCAGAGGTTTCAGAAGGACATTCTTGTTTCAGAAAATTGTGACAAAAGCAATATAAGTGCTAGGTTTGTAAATGGCAATATTCTTTGTGTTAAATATCCAAAACTAATCACTTCAGAAGGAAAAAAGGATAAAAAGTTGCCCGTCTCAGTTAGTGAACGACAGAAAAAGGAAGAACAAGCTACAAGCCAAAAGACCACTTTAAAGGTGAGTTTGGTACGTCTGGTGGATCAGATTTGATCTTCCCCTTGTACATATGGCTTTGCACTGCCTTAGTGCTTTTCTTTTCTTAATATATTGGTACCAGTATCAAAAAGGTGAGTTTGGCACGACGAAAATTAGTTTTCAGGAAAATATTTTTCAAGGAATACACCGAAAGGTGGAAAATAACATCCTCACTTATCGGCAGAAATCATTTTTCTTAAATCCTTATCACTATCATAACTTTTAACTTCAAATTATTTGCTCCTATTCAGTTTAAGAAAGTATTGTGTATTAATCTTTAAGACTCAAAAAATTCATCAATACACTCTTCAATTTGCTAATATTGTTATTAGTCTTTATATATATAAGGCAGTCTGTTGCACTAAACTCCTGTTATGCGTGGCCGGATCACAAGGATCTATTATACGCAGTCTCACCCTGCATTTCTGTAAGAGGCTATTTTCATGGCTCAATCACATGATCTCCTAGTCACATGGAAACAACTTTACTAATTAAGTGTTCTTAGTCTTTAATATAGTATAGTTTATTTTTTCTTTTTGTAAAATGTTTTCTACTCACCAACTAAACATTTTCCTGAAAATTTTCCATAAAAATCATTGGTATTTCGTGGAAAATGACTTTCTTCATACGAAACACATCCTAATGAGATGAATTTACTAAACAGGATAATGTTGAGAATGCTCCTGCAAAAGAGCCAGTACTGAAAGAAGAACCAAAGACAAATAGTCCAAAAACTAATGAACAAACAGAACCAAAAAGCACCTCAGAAGATGGAAAAACAACAGGTTCATTTACCACATATCAGACAGTATTTCCTCGAGGGAATGACTGGAAACCTAAGGTCCAGATAATGGCAGATAAAAAGGCATCTAGCTCCCTTGTGGTAAAACCCAAGGGCAATAACGAAGAAGGCATCTCAGCCCCCGACAAGCTTGTAAAGATGCTGACTCAGATGTGCAAGGATGAAGGTATTATCCCAGCTAATGAATATAAAGACCTACTGATAAGAGAGATGAGCACTCAAGATGGGTCACTAACGAGAAAGGGCCTAAGGATGTTTGTCCTTGGAGTGAGAGCAGAAAAATTGTATAGTAATCAGCAAGTTTTGAGAGAGACCATGTCATCATTATCTCAGGAAATCTCTAAACTTGTTAAGATTCAGAAACAGATAGAAGAGACAAGACTCAAGGTAGAGTCAGGGAATATGTCCTTTATAGAAAAGCTCTCATCTGAGATTCCCCAGGTGATAGAGGAGACTATCCTGAGACAGAATGAATATGATCCGTACGAGCAAAGGGAAGACATGGGGGAGGTGATTTCGAGTACTCTTGGGAAAGTTGATGTCGGAAAACCAGCTGCTAGTCAACCCTATCGCGCTCCAGCCACTATTAAGTCCCATCCAATACATGAAAATAAACGTGAATCAATGGATGACATCAGGCCATTGATAACTCCTGATAAGTTAGAGAATATTGATCTAACTGGACTTGCTTTCTCAGAGGAAGAGGATACTTTTGTTAATGTCGCCATTCAAGAGCTAAATCTGACAAAGAAGAGTGTCTTGTCAGATAGAAAAGCAATCAATGCAATGCTGTACGGTCCCTCCAAAGAACCAGTGAACAAACAAGAGTTAAACCAGATAACGACGACGACAACAACAACAACAATAACAATAACAATAACAACCGTTCCTAAGTTCCAAACAAGTTGGGGTCGGCCGGTGATTTGTTCGCAAAGGTGATAAACATGACCCTGGTTGCTCTGTTGTTTCTTGGTGTCGGTCGCTATGTCATCAATGTGATGAAATCTCCCAAGAAAGCTAAAGAATGAGACTAGCTTGTTTTCTTGGAATTCAAATTTCAATGTTGGGATATTATGTATTTCCTTTGCTGTGATTGTAAATAGAACGTATAAAGGTTTATTCTGAAATGTAATCTCTCAATTTGTTATGATCAGAGAAAAAGGCATTTGGATACCTGCAATCATGAAATATATTAATAGAATACAGTGGATGATCGTTCTGAAATTAATTACCTCTTCTGCGTCCATTGTGATTTCCAGGCCGGTGAATCCACAGTGTTGGGCGAAGCTCATGACGTGGCACAAAGCTAGTATTTCCATCAAGGTATTTCAATTTTATGAGTTTTGAATTTTAAAACGACAATTTCAATAGGTAATAATTGGAGTCTAAATTTTTTCTTTCTACATATGTAATGAATATCAAAACACATACGCTCTGTTTGATCAAAGGCTATTAAATTTGGCCAAACCAGTGTATGGGCTTCTACCTCTGCCCTGTTGGTAGCATATGAGGAATTGTTGGGAAGCGTGTCAGGCTAATAGAAGGGAAAAATATTTAAAAAGAGAAAATAATAAATTGCACAAGACAAGACAAGACTTACGTGGTTTGACAATTTTTGCCTACTCCAGGGCCACACAAAGAATAACTCTTTATTGATATTGAGAGAGAAAGAAGAATGTCGTGAGGATGATTTACAATGGCTTTTAACATACTTTGATCTAATTAGCTCCATATTGATCTTTTAGACTTATTTTTGGAACAAAACTAAAATTAGAATATAATCCTCTAATTACAATACTATGATCACCCGATAGGTCATCTAGAGTTTTAAACATTAATTCTGTATTTTGAAACCTCAAATATCTCATTTTAGCCTTCCTCGATTTGCATGCGCAGTTCGTGTCTTTTTTCGGGAGTTTTTTATGTTAAAAATTGATAAAATGTGCAATTATGCCTTAAAGATCCATTTGAGTTGATTTCGGTCAACGTTTTGAGAAAACGGACCCGGATTTATGTTTTGACCATCCTGATGGGTCCATATCGTGATTTGGGACCTAGGCGTGCTCAGAATCGAATTCGAAGGTCCCTAGCTCGAGTTATCATATTTGGTCGAAAATTTGAAGTTAAAGGTTTAATGAATTTAAAGATTTGACAAAAGTTTGACTTTATTGCTACCGGGTCCGCATTTTAGTTTCGGAGCTTGGTATATGTTCATTACTATATTTATGACTTGTCTGCAAAATTTGGTGAAAAACAGAGTTGGTTTGACGTGATTCGGATGTCCGGTTGTTAAAAATTCTAAAGTTTCATTGAAAATTTTCTTTGATTTGGTGTCCGATTCGTAGTTCTAGGTGTTATTTTAGCTATATGATCGCGCGAGCGAGTTCGTATAAGGCTTTTGGACTTGTGTGGATATTTGATTTGGAGCCCCGAGGGCTCGGGTGAGTTTCCGATAGGCTTCAGAGTGGTTTAGACTTAAGAAAATAGCTAGTGCTCTACTGTTTCTGGTGTAGGCCTCAGTCTTCACATTTGCGATATGGCAGTCTCCCTGTCAAGTTCGCATTTGCGAGCTACTTCCTCGTATTTGCGAAGAATAGCTGGGAACTAATGGTTCGCATTTGCAAACAATTACTTCGCCATGCGAAGTAGGGGGGAGTAGAGTTCGCATTTGCGATCAAAATGATCGAAATTGCGAGGAATCCGAGTTCGTATTTGCGAACAAACCATCGCATTTGCGATGGCAACAGAAGTGTGAGACCTTCGCATTTGTGAAGGATTTTTCGCATTTGCGGGGTTCGCAATTGCGAACCCTAGGTCGCAATTGTAACATTTGCGCCTGGACTTAAGCTGAGTTAGACGAGATTTTGTTCATTCTTCCAAATTTTCAAAACTAGAAACCTTAGAGGCAATTTTTCCAAGAGCTTTTCTTTCCCAATTTATTGGTAAGTGATTCTAACCTACTTTATTTCAATTATCCATAACATTTTATAAGATTTCAACTTAAAATCTAGGATTTTCATGGTAGAAATTGGGGATTTGGATAGAATTAAGAATTTTTGTAAAATTGAAATTTCGACCTGAAATTGAGGTCGGATTTCGAAACAAATTCTATAACGGGGCTCGGGGGTGAATGGGTAATCGGGTTTTGGTCCGAATTTCGGGTTTAGACCTAGCGGCCCGAAAAGTTGACTTTTGTTGACTTTTTCAGTAATGACCTAAATTGAACCTTTCTAATTCGTGGATAGTTCTTAAGGCTTATTTTGAGTCGTTGGTTGATAATTTGCTAGATTTGGTTGCCTCGGAGGCTTGTTCGAAAGGCAAAGTCGTAGTTGACATTTAAGTTGATTTTTGAAGCGATGTAAGTATCGTGATTAACCTTGACTTGAGGGATTAGGACTTGTTTTCCTATTTGCTACGTGTTTAAATGTTGGGTACAACGTATATGTGAGGTGACGAGTACTTATGCGTTGTTGTTGGGTTAAGGCATGCGGTTGAAACTTGTTTCTCGTGATTTATTTCCTTATTTGATTATGATATCCACGTCTAGACTAGTTTATTACTTAATTGATCATTCTTTCCGCATTTATAAATTATTTGTGATAATTGAATATTATTGGAAGTTGAGGATCGATATTGTGGAAATGTTGTTAACATAAAGTTTATTCTTGATCATTCTTTCTCCCAAATGTTATATATTCATTGCTTCATGGTAAGTGAGAGAGTGTTAATGCACGAAGGGTGATGTCGTGCCATATTTATCATTTCATGATGAAATTGAGAGTTGAAGAACGAAGGGTTATGTCGTGCCGTATTTATCATTTTATGGAGAGATTTAGAGTAAAAGCACGAAGGGTGATGCTTTGCCATTATTACTGTTTCACGGTGAGGTTGAGAGTAAAAGCACGAAGGTTGATGCCGTGAAGTTTATATTCATTATGTTTATCCGTTTCATTGGCTAAAGGTTTATTGACTATTTCATGTTGTCATTCCCTGTTGTGGTTACCGTATTCTACACCCCTTTTGCACGTCCCCCTAATAGTACATGTTAAATCCTTATTTGTTGTTATGTTGTGCGTATATTTTTGTCTATATAGGTTTAATTACGTGGATGTTTTGTCATAGCCTCGTAACTACCTCGTCGAGGTTACCCGACACTTATGGAGTACATCGGGCCAGTTGTAGTCATACTACACTCTGCACTTCTTGTGCAGATTTTGGTACTGGTCCCAACTGTACGTGAGATGCATCAACTCAGATTAGCATTTTGGTATTTCAGACTCTGTATGTAGAACCTCTAGAAGCTCGTGTACTTGTGACTCCAGATCCGGGTTGTACTAGATGTTAGATTATCTGCAATTTCGTACTTCATTTTAGCTTCATTTATGTCGGATTGGTTAAATTATTCAAAGTGTTTAGAATTGGCAAAAGAATTACTCTAATGTTGGCTTGCCTAGCATGTGAAATGTTAGGCGTCATCACGGCTCCGAAGGTGGGAATTCCGGGTCATGACAAATACCATGGAATAAAATGATTTGATTTGTTTTCACATGTCTATATTATCTTGCTCATAGAAACATGTTGATAATTCCTATAAATGGAAAATATTTTTTTAGAATGAAATTAATAAGATCTTACCTAAAATCAACAATATCTTAAGGATGTTGGAATAGATGGAACTTGAATTGACCACGGTCAATATTCTTGGTAAAAGACGTCGGATTAGTATTTTGACAATTCTAATATGTTCGTATGATGTTTTTGGACTTATACTCTCTTTTGGTTGGGGTCCGGATTGACCCGAGCACATTTCAGCGCGTTTTATGAAAAATTATAAAAATGAGTTTTCAAGTTGAAAATTAGATTTTGGGTGTGTATCAGATGCATTTTCAAGTTGAAAAATTATATGAAAAATTATAAAAATGAATTTTCAGGTTGAAAATCAGATTTCAAGTTTTCAAGTTGAAAATCACATTTCGGGTGTGTATCAGATGCATTTTGGATGATATGAGTTAGCTGGTGTGCTTCGGTTCTGGCGTTGATCTGCATATCTCTCAAATGCGAGCCTCGCTTTTGCGATCAAACCATCGCATTTGTGAGCTTGGTCTTAGGCTGGGAGACCTCGCATTTGCGAGGAAGAGTTCGCTTTTGTGATTGGGGGAAGTCATATTTGCGTACTAATTGGTCACAATTGCGACCACTAAGCATCTAGGGCATCTTCACAAATGCGAAGTGGATATCCATATTTGCGGGAAGGGGGGGTCGCATTTGCGATAAAAGTGTCGCATTTGCGACTTCTAGGCTTCTGACGCTATCACGATCCAAAATTCGACTAGCCGTGATGGCACCTAACCCAACCCATTAGGTAAGACAATTTACAAATATCTGATTCAAATAACATTTAACTACTCTAATACACTCCCCAAGGACTGGTAGTACAAATCATGAGCTTCTAAGATTAGAATTTACAAAGCTATTGTGAAATAAAAATACGTCATCTGTTTGAAATATACATGAACAGATTATAATTCTAAAGCTAACATAAACAGGAGACAACAATTACTGAAACACATGTACATCTTTAGATCCAGCTCCCGCCATGTACAGCAGCAACATGCAGAAGTGTAGTATGAGTACAACCGTGAATGGCATGATACCGCACAACATGAGGAAAAATGCATCTCTACGCATGTATGTCAAGTGTTCATGTCGAATGCGATGCAACTCAGTGATAAAACCATATGCATACTCTCAGAGTATCAATTCATTCAGTCCTCCCAATCACTCAGTCCTCACAGTCACTCATTCCTCCCAGTCACTCAGTCCTCACAGTCACTCAATCCTTCCAATCGCTCTGCACTCGTACTCAGTAGGTACCTGCGCTCACTGGGGGTGTGTACTCCCTTTTTGTAGATAATGTTGTATGGGGATATTTAGTATACTGTTGTAGAGCTTGGGACTTGGTATCACTTGATGTTGGGAGTTTTATTCTGTTGAGTTGCAGAGTTCTTTTATGTTAGTTGTTGAATTATTTGAATGTTTTAATCATTTTCTCAGTTAAATTCTGCCTGAATGTTAGGCTGACCTACTCATAGAGACTAGGTTCCATCACAACATCCTACAGAGGAAAATTTAGTCAGTGACAAGTTGGTATCAAAGCCCTAGGTATATAGGTTTTATGTGTCAAAAGCAGGAATAGTAGAATCTCACGGATCGGTATAGAAACTTTTGTATTTATCTTCGAGAGGCTATGGAACTGTAGGGGCTCCTTCAGCCCAAGTGCTATAGTCTTCACAGACAACTCATGTGCTGCACGGACAACTCACGTGTTATAGTATCAATATCTGGATCCGCACGGACAACTCACATGCTGCACAGACAACTCGCATGCTACAGTATCAATATCTGAATCCGCACGGATAAGTCACGTACTGTACGGACAACTCACGTGCTATAGTATCAATATATGGATCCGCACAGATAACTCACGTGCT